TCTTTATTGCAGTAATTATCAAACTGATTACTAACGTCATTCATAACTTTATCCCTAGCTCTCCTAATATTACTGTGATCAATTATTATTCTATTGTCATTATTGGATACATTATGTTTTAAGGTGGTACATAACCATAAAAAATAAAATTGGAAATAAGACAATGCACAACAATTTTTTAATTTTTTTTCATTTAAAATAAACTATTTAGAAATAATTAAATTAAAAAAGTAGTTATTAAAGTATTTTTGCCTCGATTATTACTGAAAAATTGATATTTTGATGATATATTGTAAACAAAATATTTAAAAAACCTATATAGTTAAAGACTTGAAAATTTCACCAGTTCTTTATTGTATTGTAATGCAGGAGTTGAACTAAAACTAAGTCATAATATAAAGTAGTTCAGAAGATATTGACATTTTTTACTTGTTGATTATATTTTGTATAGTTAGGATTTGTAAAAAGCGCTATAAGATGACAAGTTTTGTGTATAAAATAATAGTTTTAGTTCAACTCCTGACATTAAAGCTTAAGAATATACAGCAAAAATTTCAACCTAAAAACTTATCCTGATCTTGAATTATCATGTTTTAAAGTTAACAAAATAAGTAAAAATTAAATACTGAGAAAATTGCAAAAATAAAGATAAACTGACAAAAAATATTACGGTTTATTTAATATGAGCCTGCTGAATAAGCAGGTATCTCTTTATTTTCTTTTTCTTTATCTAGAAATCCTTTTCTAATGGCTCTTAATTTTTTTCTTGCTTTTACATCTTTGATTAATAAATTTATGAACATTTCTTATGTGCTCTATATCATTTTTTTAAAATGCATTATGCATAAACTGTGAAACTAGCAGTCCAAGCATTTGCATTATTGGGCTTAAACCAGATTTACCATCATTAAATTTAATGGTTGCTGAACAAATTCCAATCTCAAGTAGTTTTCGTGACATAAAAAATTCCATCGGATATTTTTTCCAGATCATACTGTTCAAGCATTCGTTTTAATTTTGAGTTTGGCCATGCAAACATTTTAACAATAGCGATTCTGCTGATAAATCATGCCAAACTGGCATTAACTTTAAAATCTTTAATTGTAATTGGGAGGCTTAAGTTTTTCTTGTATGTTTTATTACCTGTTAATTTGTCAGCCTGCCATAAACACCAGGTATCTTTGGTGCATGGACAAAACTGATGACTAATATTTTCATCCAAAATGTTTGTATTATGAAACATAGTTGCCCATATACATATTGTGTGTACCGATTGCAAGCAAACGATCTTTTTTTTGTTCTAGAACGAGTTCTTGGCATATTATTTAATAAAACTTCTAAATTAAAACTGTTGTTACAAAAAGTGTTATAATCACATATAAACAAAGCATTAATTTTAAGACTTATTGCAAACGAATTTGTGCTTTGAAAGTATGATTAATAACTTTAACTTAACAAGCAGCTATAGGGCTTTTTCATTGTCATAAACTGGTAATATATTTTTCCATAATGTCAAGGTAAAAAAGGTAAGAAGATGGTTGCTAAGGACGTTGCCATGTCCGAAAAATTTATTAGTCTTTAAAAAAGCTGCCTAAAACACTATTTATGTTATTTTTTTCAAAAAATAGTTTTAAAACTGTGTTCGTCATAAAATTTTACATCAAATAGGATAATAATAATTTTTTTGATTTTTTTCAAAATTTCTGGTTATGTACCACTACCTACCAGTTACAGTAACTGAAGGCTTAAATAAAACACTGGTCTTTAGCCATTTTTCTGAAAGTTTATTGTAAATATCCTAGATTATCTCAAAATTACTATAGTTTTTTCTGTTTAGTTCACTTGTTTTTCTTAGAAAAAAATCATATCTTAGCATATCTCTTCGTGTTGGCAGTTTAGCTGCTGGTAACTTATTTTCAGATCCCACATACAAGAGCCTTTTTTTTTTTGTTCCAGCAGCCATTTTCTATTTAATAATATTTTTATCTAGTAATTTTAAAAATTTAGTTACAAGTGTAATAAATATCAACTTATGTTTAATTTAAAAGATAGTAACATCAATATTAATAGAAAATATAATCCTGGTAAACTTATTATTCTTATGTATCAATTAAATTTATAGATTTAGAATTGAAAATATGCAGTAGCATAGTCTTAGTTAAAAGAAACAAAGAGCAATCCTGGCTCCATTTCTTTTCATCAATTAAGTTTCTCTTTGTTTACTAAAAACTACATTTCTCAAATTTTATTCCACTACAAAACCTGTACAAATTAAAAAAAAATGAACATATATCTTCTTTCCTTTGTGACAACTTCACTGATAATATATAGAAATCAGTAACTTGTATATTAAATGTTTAAAATAAGGTATTTAAAAATAATGCCATTTAGAAAGTGAACTTCAAATGAAATATCTAAGTTGAAGTTTTAACATACAAAATTTGGAAAAAGGCCCAACTTTTAAGCACTCTGTAAATCAAAATTTCTGAAACCGTTTCAACTACTAAATGCAATATGTATTAACTTCTGAGGATATGTTTGCTGTTAAGCTAATAAGATAAGTTTTTTTGTAAAGCTTATTTAAGTCTAAATATATGAAAATTGACCTTAAAAACATGAAAATATCAAAATATCGCATTTTTTGGCAAATTTCAAAGCAGTTCCCTGGTAACTTAAACTTATTTAAATTTAAATTTTTTGAATTTAATATGTTAAACTTCATCCTTTTTAAAAATGTCAATAGTAAACCTGATTTTTTAAAATTTGGCCTAAGTATGACACACCCTAGTTCTTATTACTATCATTGTTATTATTATTTTTATTATCATCATTCTGAATGCCTTAATAATATTATTGTCGTAAGGAGGGGGCCAAAAAAAAATTTGGCACCAGCACACTCCAAGGCCCTAGGCTTATATAAAATATATACGTATTACTAAAAAAAACACAAAGTTTAATGCTTTTTTGTAAAAAATTTGTGTATTTTGATTTATCTTGGACCTTTTAGGCATGACAGGGACCTTGGGGGAAAATCCCCCTATCCTTCCTGGCCAGTCCGACACTGTATTTAGCTAGGACAAGGAAAAGTTGCTTTTGTATTTATATATATTTTTTGTCAGGTTTTGTTTTAGTTATCACAAAAAGCTAAATTTCTGGTCTGTATTACGTACATTTGTTTATTCGCTGAGGTTTATAAATAAACTAATAATTTACACGACTTTTATGTTTGCGTCAAACTGTTATCAGAATTTTTGAAGAGCAATTTTAGTAGAAAATTATATTAAAAAAAAGTTGTAAAGTCATAAGAATAAGACGTATCTTTCAAAGTATTTCTAAAATTATACTTTCGTCCATTTTGCTGTAAAAAATTTTTTTTTTATGTATAAAAGTATGTTAAAATTATTCATTAATATTCTTCTTTAACAAGTTTTCAGATATACGGCTGGTTCTAAATGTAATTTATAACTTGGATGAATTATTTGTTCCATTATTTGATATTTTTTGTTACTTTTATTTGTTTGCTATTGTATCATTTATATATATATGTTGTTATATATAAGCTATTTTATTCATATATTGTTTACTTATAAATTGTTAATGTTATTAAATTATATTCAATCTTTGTTTAGTTGAAACATTTTTTGATAGCAAATATGATACATCAATTATGAAGCTAAATATAACAGCTTCACCTAAGTAATAGGTCCGTTTAGGCGAACAATCTATCATTAAAAAAAAAGAAAAGAATTTATTCAAATTGTTGAACTTTTTCTGGTCTGGTTTATTAGCGTTTACTTTTAAACTACAGTTTATTGAAGAAATATTTCGATTACCATGCAACATTTCGATCACCATGCATATATATATATATATATATATATATATATATATATATATATATATATATATATATATATATATATATATATATATATATATATATATATATATATAAATTATTTAAAAGAACAGTTACACTTATTAGCCGAAACTCTTCCGGTTGCGATAAACCATTCATTAGTTAAAAATATATGAAGACATTTTTAGTTTAAATAAACGGTTAAATCAATATTTTTAGTGAAAATAATTTTTATTTAAGAAGGATTTACTTTAGTTTTTAAATTCTTTATTATAGACCAAAGTTAATTTTTTAAATAATTCTTGCTAATTGAAAAGCCTAGCGTTAAATTTTAAAAAAATGTAATCGGTCTTTTAATAAAATGTTTTTCCAACTGAAATTTCACAGTTAAAATGTTGTAATAAGTTTTGAAAAATTAATCATATCTTTACAAATAACAAATTTATCTACCTATTTTAATTATACTTAAATATTAAGTTGTTAAGAAACGTGTTTTAGTTGTAATCCGATGTGGTTGTTTACAAAATTGTTTTTAAATTCCAATGATACAATGATTTAACGACGCCCTAAGTCAGTTTTTTTATAAACGATTCAGTATATACATTTAATAGTTTTTTAACTTTTAAGAAATTTATATATATATTTATATATATATATATATATATATATATATATATATATATATATATATATATATATATATATATATATATATATATATATATATATATATATATATATATATATATATATATATAGAGTATATATATACTCTATATATATATATATAGAGAGAGAGAGAGTAAAAATTTTGTCGAGTTAAGACGCTCTTTTAAAAAATATATATATACATATATATATATATATATATATATATATATATATATATATATATATATATATATATATATATATATATATATATATATATATATATATATATATATATATATATATATATGTATATATATATATATATATATATATATTATTTCAAAATTCAAAAAAATATAATTTATTTAATTTAGATTTAAAACAATACAATTCTCCAATACTTTTCTCGAATTTTAGTTAAGACGTATTTATTTACCGGCGTGTGAGTGCTGCTGTTAGGTTACGCGAATTTTTCTTTTAGCAATTGATAAACAAGATTGGAGATATGGTTCGAGTATTCTACCAATCGCAAATCGATCATATTTTCCGATACTCTGACGTCACCTATGACACATAATTTTATGCTTAGTTAAAATTGAAGAGAAGAGAAGTACATTCGGGTGAGGTTTTTAAAAATTTGCTGTTTACATTGATACAAAACCTATAAAATATTAGATGTTCGCTAAAGTAATATTTTCATAATGTATGAATTGTATTGCCAAAGATTATTCAAAAACTTTGACATAGTTATGAGTCATATTATAAATATATAGACTTAATCATAAATAGTAATACCATGTATATATTTTCATATTAAAAATTTATTTAAGAAATATATCGATGATTCCCATTTTATCTAGGAACATCGCTTAAAACATGTATGTGCGTATGTATTTGTAAATATATATATATATATATATATATATATATATATATATATATATATATATATATATATATATATATATATATATATATATATATATATATATATATATATATATATATATATATGGTTTTTTAAGTATTTTATATGCCAATGGATTGTATTAATAAAGACCAAATACTTAATCAGTCTCTGCTATATCCTATAATGAGTCAAGTTTCATTTTTACTTAATCCTATTTGTGATGGTAAAGATTGGAGAGCTTTAGCTGGTGTATTTGATTTTACAATGGAAGAAGTTAATATTTTGTCATCTGCCTGTGACCCAACAATGGAATTATTTAAATATTATGAGTCAAAATATGGAAAAAAAGTTACATTTACTTATGTTATAGAATCATTACAAAATATTGGAAGAAAAGACATTACACTAGAAATTTATAAATACACTAATGACAACAATTTTATTGAAAATAAGAATCAGGATTTGCAATACTCCGTAACTCAAGTTAATAATTTTACACTCAATAATAGTTATGACGTCTTTATATCATATGCAAAAGATGATATAAGTTTTGCTAAGTTAATTAAGAATCGCTTAGAAAATGAAAATGGGTTTAAAGTTTGTATTGATTATTGTGATTTTTTGCCTGGGTACAATCCTTTTGAGCAGATATGCAGTGTTATTGAAGAAAAATGTAGGAAAGTTATAGTTATATTATCTCCTAATTTCAACGAATCAAATAACTGTCAAACACAAGCTAAAATTGCATTATCTTTATCATTTGAATTTAATAAGAACAAAGTGATACCAATATTGTATAAAAAGTGTGAAATACCCAGAATTTTAAAACTTTTGACACGCCTTGATTGCACAGATCCTTACACCAGTCCTTATTTTTGGACACGTCTTATAACGGCGATTAATAAACAATGATATATATTAGTTTTAGGATTTTTTCAACTTTTTTTTTTTACTAGAATTTATATTTCTATATATATACATAGATGTTTTATATATTTTGCAATTTTCTAGTTTTTTATATGGTAAATAGTTTTCAGGATATATATATATATATATATATATATATATATATATTATATATATATATATATATATATATTATATATATATATATATATATATATATATATATATATATATATACATATACCCACACATATATACATACTCATACAAACACATACGTACAGGTATATATTTTTAATTTAGTTTACTTTGCTGTGATATTTTTTTTTTCGATTTGTGTTGCTAAATATTTTTTTAACTTTTTAGAAATTTTAAAAGGATGTTTATAATATTAAGCATTCTGGTTTTTTATATTATAAACTGTTTTGTGTCTGTATATATATATATATATATATATATATATATATATATATATATATATATATATGCATACAAACACATACATTCAAAATGTATATAGTATATTTTTTACTTAAGTTTCTTTGCTGAAAAATTTTACAGTTCCTACTAACGATAGGCTATAAATCTTATAGCCTATTGTTGGTAGGAATTGCTGTTATATTGATTAAAAGTTGGGGATGGGGCAACTATTTTGTCTTTCTGTTATCTTTTGTTTGATCTTAAAAATTAAAGTGCACATTTTAAGAATTAAAGTGCAAAAAATGAAAATTATAAACTTAATTGTTTGTGATCTCAAATTGTTTGTGCAGAATCAAAAAAATGCTGTTTAGTAATATTATTTAATGATAAAGATATTTTAATATGTGTGCCTGTGTATATGTGTATATATATATATATATATATATATATATATATATATATATATATATATATATATATATATATACATATATATATATTTATATATATATATATATATACTTTTTTTTTTTTTTTTTTTTTTTGATTCTAAACTTTTATGATTTCTAAAGGCATGAGAATTCATAAAAAGTTTTATTTCAACATTTTTGGTCTGTTTTTGAAGTTTATTAAGTATGAAGAACTCCAAATATAGATGTTTGTATTTTTATACTAAATTAGACCATTTTTCTCTTAATACACATGCACACACAAAGTTATTTTATAATATTATTTTAGTAAGATAAATTTCGTATTGTAGGTAAGTATTATAAAAGATGTTATAGCATTGTCAGGAACTGAGGCAGCTACTTAGAGGCAGTTGATTTGTTGAAAACATTCTTTTAATCTGTGAAACAGATTTAAGAGCTGCTTAAACAATTAGTATATAGAACTGTTATTACAAAATTTAAATGGAGCAAGACTCAAATAGAACTGTTCTCTGTAAAATGGGCTGTGGATTTTATGGCAATCATTCTTATGAAGGAATGTGTAGTAAGTGTTATAGAGATCATGTTAAGCGTCAGCAACAATCCTCGCCTAGTGCTGGAAGAAATAGTCCTGCTACAGGTTAGTTAACTTGTATAATACTAGTATCATAAAACACCTTTAATTTGAATAATCATGATATATATATATTTGAAGTATTTGTTATATATCAGAGTATCTGCCAGATCAGGGAAAACAGGGAAAAGTCAGGGAATTCAGATATCTGCAAAAAATCAGGGGATTATCAAGGAAATCAGGTTAAATTTTAGAAAAACAAATATATAACAAATAGTATTGCGTACTAAGGTAAGCAGTCTGACATCATACTGAATAGCCTGCTGCTGGGGGCTTCAGTACATACATCGACTGACAAATAGTCTGACTCGCAGTGGAGTGCTGCTACATCGACTGAGGGTTTGGGATAGGGAAGCAATCGTTTTATTCATGATTCTTCGTTTTTTCTTCTTTTTCGAAAAAAAACAGTATAGCTTAAGGTAAGCAGAAAAAGTGAGCAAATGCTTATCAAAACACGCTTTAGTAAGTGTATTAAAAGTTTATTTGGTAAATAGTTTTATAAGCTTTTCTTGATACACTTAATGTGGGTTGTATTATTGTTTATATTTTTGCATTTTTCTAAATAAATCTTGGGTATTTTCTAAATAAATCTTGGGTATTATTGGGATAAATTTGGGTAACTTTAAATTAAATCAAGGAAACAGTTAAAAGATCAGGGAAAAGTCAACCTTAAAATATTGGCAGACACTCTGTATATGTAATAGTTTTATGTTATATAAATAAAATGTGGACTCTTTAAATGTATTAGCAATTAAAAGTTGCCTTTTGCTTTGAAATTATCAAATTTAAAAAAAAAAATTTATTCATAGTCTTCATGTTCATCTATCCCATTAAATAAAAAAATCTTTATTATGCAAAGTATTATAATAAATATATTTTACTATTTTGTTAAAAATTATTCTATCTATTCAATTATCCTTGTATAACTCCTGTATAACTATATAACAAAAAGTTTTTAAATCATAGGATTATTCTAGAACTCTACTTATAAAAAACATTCAAATACCAAAAAATATCCAAACAAATTTGTGAGACTAAAAATGATATGGTTTCAATCAAAAATTAGAAGTTTGAATTTTTAAGAAATTAGTAAACTTAAAGTGTAAGGAGTAATGGTTGCCAACAATCTCTAATTCAATCTTTAAATGATTTATGATATGACCTACAACACATAGAAAATTCTTTTTACTTTGCAATATATATATTAGTATATTATATACAACCCTCGGAATTAGGGTCCGCATTCAAACCTAACTGTCGACCTTAAAGTGTTTGCAGTCGGCAAAAAATTGCCGACCTCGTTTCTATGTTTTGTGGTAAGACCTATGTACCAATTTTTTTTTTCGCCGACCTTCAAAAGATTGAGGTCAGCAAATTATTGCCGGCCTCATTTATCCTAAATCCGATGGTTGCATATATTGCATATTTATAAAAACTTTATTTTTGACAACAAAGTTCCTTTACAAATAAGTTATTATTAAACAAAGTTAACATATAAATTAAAAAAATAAAGGCTTCTTTGATCTATAACAATGCGTTAAACATCTATTTTTATCAAAACGTCCTTGGTTTTATTTAATTTTTTTTTTAATTTTATAAAACTTAAAAGGTAAAAGGGGTAAAATACATATAAATTACTTAAAAGGGGTAAAAAGGGGTGGGCAAATACCTATAATAAATTACCTACTATAATATATTATATATTATAATTATATATATATATTTGTATAATGTGTAATATATAAAAATATATATAATATATAGGTTAAGGTAAATATAATATATATCAAATAATTTTGATTTTTTTTTTTAAATTATGTATTTGCAAAGGTAATTTAAAAAATATAAAATAAATTAAAATAAGTTCTTAGTCTTTGGGGAACACTTTGGGGAAACCTGAAAACCATTTTTTCTTAATTTTATTAAGCTTTTTTTTTTTTTTTTTTAATTTTTTTTTTCTAAAAATTATATCACAAAATTATTCTAATTTAGTTTAATTTTTTTTTTTTATTATTATTATTATTGAATTCTTCCCAAAAAGTTATGGTCTTCAGGTTCCTCAAAGAGTAAAAGGCAGGCAAAAAGTCCTTTAAATTCTTTTTCGCAATTTACATCTAGTATTGCTAATAGTAAAAAAAAATAGTAATAAAATTTTTTTTATCCCTTTGAGGCGCCTGAAGAGCATAATTTTTTTTTTTGGGGGGGGGGGGATTTATTGATTTTAAACCAAAAAGCAACTTTTTATTACTATTACATAAACAAATTTTGATTATTTAATTTTCACCTAATATTTCAATGCATCCTAATATATAGTCTCAGTGGCATGCTGACCCCAGAGGTTATGCGGCAACCCCACATAGGCCTTAAGCTTTTTATCTTTTAAGGGCTTTTTGTAAAAAAATTATTTTACTATATTTTACTTTGAATAATCATTAATCTTTTATTCACTTACCCTTTCGCAAATCAAATTATTTATCTGATTAAACTTTAAGTACTTGTATCAGTCCTCAGAATTAGGGTTGGCATTTATTATTGCTGACCTAAAACTGTTAAGGATGACAAAAAAATCACCGACCTCATTTCTATGTTTTATGGTAAAATCTTTGTGTCTAGTTTTTTTTTGCCAACCTCAAATAGTTTAACTTCCTCCTCAAGGATCTTTTTTTTTTTAATTCCAAGGGCTGTAGTATATTATTATTTTGCATAGCAAAATGAAAAGATCAGCCTTAAAATTGCGAAAAATGTTTGTTATTATGTTACATAAATTGCTTTTAACGATTGTTCAGGGTGGCCACAGCTCTTCTAAAATCCTCTTTTTTTAAAACTTCCTCTAAACTCCTCTATTATCCTTTAAAAAGTGAATCTTTTTATAATGCTAATTAGGTTACTAATCAATGTTTCATTGTGTTATAAAAATGGTTTTTAAGCGTGTAACTTATTTTACTAAGTTAAACATTATAACTTAGTTTTACTAAGTTACAAATCATATAAATATTGTGTTTTATAACGATATGTAACTTTGTTTTACTAAGTTACATATTGTTATAAAACACAATGTTTATTCATTTATAAGCTTGCAAATCAAGCATATATGGTAAAATCAAAAAAACAACAAAAAAACTTTTCAAATAATTTAGTTTTGTTGTTCATAGTTAAAGCTAAATTTTAGGCCAAATTTTATTTTTTTTAATTTTAGGCTAAATTTTAGGAAAAAAAGTTTAATGGGTCTTTCTGTAGAAAGACCTCATAAGTTCTTCATACTAAATATAAAACTAAAGATAATGAGTTAGGGTGGTTACATCTAAATAAAAAAACTAAATGATTGCATTAAGTTATAGTAATTTATAATGCTACAAATGATGCAAATAATTATTATTAGTAATTATTAATACCATTGAAAATAATTATTATAAATAAAAATTTTAATCTTTTCAAAAATTATTATCAAATTTGAGTTTAGTTACACATAATGTTAAAGATCTTATAATGAAAATGTAATGAACAGTAAGTTCTATTCAAAAACCTTTGATTATTGATTTGTCTCTGAAAGCTTTATATGGTAGTGGTTTAATGTTAATGTGTTCGCTTTAGTAAACTTAAAGTTCTGAGTTTGATCCCATGGTTGCTTTTAAAACCTTACAAACAAAAATATTTAAAAAGTAGCATTTACACACCGTTTGGGGTGAATAGTTTTTTTAATAATTATTAGTTTTTTTATAGTTAGGTTAATATTTTTTCAATGCATTTTTAAAAGGTATACAATTTTTAAAACACCTTAACAACCATGTTCAACTTTTCAAAAACAAATAGTATTTACGTGATCACATATTACAGTGTGAAATCGCACGCCTTTTTGGCCAAGCCTGGTTAAGCAGGAAATAAATTTTCAAGTTAAAAAAAATGGTCCTAAAAATCTCAATGTCATACTGAATTGCAATTTGTAAATTTGCAAAGATAGTAACACAGGCCTTGTTAAGAAGCCTCGTCTTTTTTTATTAGAATATTTAAATAGTCTTTTGAAATTGTTTATGCAGAAAACATTAAACAGTTATTAAGTGTTGTAAAAAAACATTTTCACTGCTATTGTGAAATTTTTATTTTATTTTTTTTACTGATAAAAAAACTCCTTAAAAAAGGAGAGTTAAATAAATCTCCTTTTTTAAAAATTTTTAATTTACATTTATTTTATAAGATTTAAATTGAATTTATTATTAAAGATTTATATATTTAGTTTTATTTTATTAGATTTAGATTAAATTTATTATTAAATTATTAAAATTATTTTATTGGGTTTAATTTGAATTTTTTTTTTTTTTAATTATGTTTTAAGAAATCAATTAGATAAGTTTGAATAAGTATAAGTTTTTTAAAATTAGGAAATTTTTTTTTAAACATCATTTTAAAATTTTATCAATATTTTTTCTTTATAACAATTTTGTTTAATTTGAAGATATTTTATATATAATTTTTAAAGCTAACGGTTTTCAAAGTGGTTTCAAACTAAATTTAATTGCAATGTGGAGCTTTAAAATACGCAACTGACTTAATTAAACTTTTAACTATGTAAATATGTATATTAAGTAAAGGTACATTTACTTGTGTAGGTTTTTCTATTATGCAGCACAATCTCATAACAAGGCTTTATTAAAGCTGTAGCTATTAGTTTAATTCTATAAGTGCAAAGAACAACAATAACAGTCCAAAAAAGTGGTCTTTAAAACTATTGTTTTGAATTTCTAAAATATCAATTTTTGTAATTCATAACCCTGACATTACTACATTAACGTTGTAATAGTTGATATCAAAAAATAAAAGATAGCAGAGTTGACTGTTAAACCTTTGTTTACGAGTTAGCACTCTTAGTGTGTTGAAATGTCTTGCCTGCTTTTTAAATTACCGCACTTAATTATAAATCACTAATTCACTATTTCTGGTCCTTGGTGGTGTCAAGGAGTTAATATTGAAAGACTTATGAAACACTTGAGGAAAAGATGAATACAGTTAAAGCACAGGAGCTTATCAATTTTGAACCTAGCATCATTATTTTAAATACATAGTTCTCTGTCTACAAAATAAGTAGACAAACTTTAAGGTAAAAAAAAAATTAACAATTTTTTTTTTTTTTAATTTAAAGTTAGTCAAATCTTTATTGAGTAATTTATTTTTAACTCTATAAAATTAAAATCTTTTGTTGGAAATATATTAAGTTATTGTAAACTAAACTATATCATTTATTAGACAAAGATGTTTGATTGTTCAAGAAAAAAATTCAAATAAAACAAAAAAACAATTTAAAATCTTCTTAAAGTTACTCTTAAACAAAAAAGCCTAATATGATAACAATGTTATGTAATATGATGTAACGTGTAATATGATAACAATACAATATAACAATGTTGTGTAATATGATGTAACATATAATATGATAACAAATATTATTTACAAAAATAACATGATTATTTATTTATTACTTCATGTCTTGCTGTACTGTATGATTTTTTACCCTTCTCTTAATCGTTTTTTGTTAAAGTCTACTTTTAGCTTTTAATAATTGCATAGCAATTTTCAAAACATTTTTGATATTAAGCAATGCAATTTATTTTTAAAGGCTTGGTTATGTAATGTAATTGTTATGTAAAATGTAGTTTATGCAGATAAAGTAATGTACATGATTATTTCTAAAACAATTATGTTGTGTAGCAATAACTTGTGATTTAGATGCTATTTCAAGTATGTTAATTTAAATATTAGCGATGTGTATTTTACTTGAGTAAATTATTTTCCTTAGTCATGGCAAAATAACTTTTAGTGTTAAACAGTAGCTTTCTTAATTTTTTTGAAGTTGGAAGGAAGTGTTTTCATGTAATCATTTTAAATATTTTTTAAATTGAAGAACTAACAAGTTTTAAATCTCTGTTGTGTGTTTCACATACCTATTTTGAGTATAACAGGTATTAAACATCTTCTGATATACCAATGATAATGGTATCTCCTTTTTAACATAAATCCTAAATGAATGGCACCTGCTGTTTAAATAAGATGTTAAACATGTTTTTTGAACAAACCTAGCGTATCTTAATATTGTTTTTGGATATTCATATTTATCAACTTAACTTTTTTTTAAGTTTTATGTTAAATATCCATAGTTTCACACTTGTGTAGTTAGGTGGTTTCCGTAATGTTATTTTATTGAAAAAAGAAAATCTTTTGGAAGAGTTTTAGTAATTTTTTTACAACTGGGTGCCATGGCTAAAGAACCTTACATGTCCTAGTATAGAACTAGTTTAACATCTTGACAAGTTTAAAAGCTAAAAATATGGTGCTATGTTGATTCCCATTTGAATATTTAGACAATTTTTTGTTGGTTAGTTTGATAGACTGGTTGACAATAATAGATGGGTTTGTTTTTAGAAGTGCTAGATATATTTAGAAGTAGTTGCAGAAAAAAATTTATATATTTATATATTCAAATATTTCTCAACTAATTGATGACTTCTTCTTTAACAATTATTCATTCCTCTAAAAAGTTTATGATTTTTGTTTCTAATTTTGTATTCTATGTTTTGACACTAAAAACAAAAAACCTTTTGAATACCTTAAATTACTTTAAATTTGTAAATTCTTATTTGGTTAGGTGAAATTTAAGTAATGAGTATTATTTTGAATGTTTTTAACCATTCTTAATATAGCAGTTATTATCAATATTTAGGTGCATGTGGATCAACTTCAGCATCTCAACTTACTCTTCAATCTCCCTCTTCAACTGCAGTGGCCCAAACGACTGCTTTTTTAGATAACTCTCAGTTACAATCTGCCTGTCTAAGCCCTGAAACCTCTGCGTCTTTATTAGTTGAAGATAAATCACCATCAAATCAAGTTGAAGTATTTGAAGAAAATTCTGAATGTCCGGGTAAAATAAAAAAAAATCGTTGTTGCTCATGCAGAAAGAAAGTGGGCCTAACAGGTTTGCCTATTATTTAACACGCGTTTACTTATTATATTTGAAACTATTTAAGGTTTCAATATAACATTCTTGATTTTTTATTTTTTGATTGGCTTTCTCTTATTTTCAGGTTTCGAATGCCGTTGCGGTGGTCTCTTTTGCGGCATTCATCGATACTCTGACAAACATAACTGTTCATATGACTATAAAGCAGATGGGCGAGAGCAAATAGCTAAGGCCAATCCAGTCATTGTTGGTGAAAAAATTAAAAAAATATGAAGCTTTATGATGTTGTACATTATTGTTTGAATCTTTTTCAGCCTCGTGTTTGTGTGTTGGTATTTACTTTCATAAGCTATTGTCGTGTACACTAGCTCTTTAGGCCCCGTATTTTTTTTGAAAGAGTATACCTAGCAATTTTTAGAATTATTTGATGCGTTGGATACATTTTAATAAATGTAACACCGCCTGCTGCTTCAATAACTGAGATTTAGTTGTCTGCTGTAAATTAGATTTTGCAGAATCTTTACTTCATTGTATAAATATGTAATCAAATATATAAGTCGTATGTGTAAGTCAATTTTTTGGCACAGTTCTTTATTTTTCAAAAATAAAATGTTTGACTACTTGCACTAATACATTACTTTCTTTTGAAAGCAAACGCTCTAGCAATGTTTTGTATTTTTAAATTGCCTTTTTAGTTTTCATGTAAGTTATAATTAACGATGAGCAGCAGCGCTTGTTTGTTTATTTAATTTATTTTTGTGACTGGAAACGGTTTTACGTTTAATGTCTACTTTGTTAATATTTCTGCTTTAATGTCTGCTTTGTTAATATTAAAGTCTACAAATTTGCAAGTTTTTGTGAATTTTTTTTTTTTTTTTTTTTTTTTTTTTTTTTTTGAAGACAAGTTATTTTATATTTTTGTCCTCCAATACTCCGTAGCAGTGCTTATGATTTTCTTTTGCTTCCGTTTATTTTTATCTTGTTTATTAAATGTCTTCAATAGAGGATTTTGGTTGCGAAGCGTGTTTTTATATATATATATATAATTTTCTTATCTTTTTTTTTTCTTTATTTATGCTTCCTGGATTTTATAGCAGATTGATATTAACAGCTCTTATTGAGTAGTTATATATTATAAAAACGAATCGCGTTAACCTTAATTACAAATACTAATAAACATTTGTTTTTGTTTTTAAATAACCATCAATTAAATTATGACGTCGTTTTTAGGATAGTCTAAATCAAATTATCTACAGTTCTTAGCGATTAGAAATTCTCAGGTTATCGCAAATAAAAATTGAAAGTTTAAAAAAAAATTATTTTGGTTCGTTACTCGTTTATCACTGCAGCCGTTTTTTAAAACGTCTTAAGATGCACATTACGTATTTCGAAAAAAACGCAATTTAAAAAAAAAAAAAATTATAGTAGAAACTCTTTGTAATACGTGTTTTGAAACAAATAATTTTTATAAATTTTTTTTTATTTCTTGAAAAATATTCATTTTATAACGTTCGTAGACATCTAAATTAGCTTATTTTACAAATACAAAACAAAAAAGATTTTTTTTTACTTTAAGTCGTTTTGAAAAACGGCTTCAGAACAGTCCATAAATTATTCAACTTTTACAATACAAATATGATGATTAGACAAAAACTTACCCCGCATTTACAAATTTTTGTAAAATGCGTAGGCTAATAAAGGTAATAATGAGTCTGTTCGTGTTACATAATTGAATCTTTTACAACGCGTAAATCTGTAGACTTAAAAATTAAAGACTTCAAGTTTCATTTAGTGTGTAACTTTCTACACCTTTTGTTGTTGTAATTGAGAATTAAAAGTTGTAATTAAAAATGTAATTGAGAAGGTGAAAGCTGTAATTAAGAAACGTTTTATGTAATTGAGAAGATGAATGTTGTAATTAAGAAAAGTAAGATGTAATTGAGAAGATAAATGTTGTAATTGAGAAAATGAAAGTTATAAATAAGAAATCGTAAAATGTAATTGAGAACATGATAGTTGTAATTAAGGAAGGTATATAGAATAGAAAGGTCTTTGTATTTTGAATTTTATAGTCCTAATATACTTTGTAATTTAAGGCTGGAAATAATAATATAGTATCAACTAAATATAAAAAGTCATGAAAATGGTATTTGAGGTTTAGGCGGTAACTGGAAAAATCCTATTGGGTGTTAATTAAAACTTTCTTTTATTTATTTATTTTTTTGTGAAAAATTTAATTGAGATTTTAAATGAATAATAAATAAAACACAAGTAATTCTATTACTCTATTGCTGGTGCAGTTTTTCCCTCTCTTTTTTTATTGACGATTATGATTGAGAATTTTATGCTGATTATGAACTATATAAAAACATAGGTCTGAAAATCAACAAAAAGTGCTCTAATTCGATTTTAAAGTTTAGAAAATTACACTAAAAAATCCCAATATTCGCCATTTTTTTCATTCTCGTTTATTATTAAACTCCTTTTCAAATATGATTTTAAAAAATCCTGGTTTTTATCAACAGTTTAAAGCAAAACAATTAAAAAAATGCTGAGCGCATCATTTTCTAATTTACCCCTTGCCCAAACCCTAACTCAAATCATGTACGTTTAATCGCGGCAATCCCTATTTGTCAGTGCATTTAGTTGTGCCAATCCTTATTTGTCAGTCCATTCAATTGCGCCAATGCATATTTTTTAGTCGATGTAAGTACTTTTAAAAATCAATATCTTAAATTAATTTTTTCAAAAATAATTTTTTTAAAAATAATTAAAATTACATAAAATATATTTATAAAAACATTTAATTTAATTATAATTAAATTTTGACGACAATAAAAACCGGGTCGCTTAATTAAAAAAAGATTTTTTAAACGATCGATTTCAAAATGTAATCTTTGATGTAAAACGTTTATAAAAAACGGCGAATATTAGCGTTTTTTAGTGTATTTTTTTAAACTTCAACATCGAATTAGAGCACTTTTTGTTGATTTTCAGACCTATGTTTTTATACGATTCTTAATCAGCATAAAATTTTCTATCATAATCAGCAATAATAAAAGGGGGGAGAAATTCCAGTGGGGTCCTTATTAAAAAGAACTGGCATTTACATAAACGAAGATTTTGCCCAAAAACTATCGAACATCGAAGGAAGCTTGGCGGAGGTGTATTTGACTCACGCGTGATTAAAACGATGATTTATTTTAGCCGCTTTTTAATTGAAATTCACTATGAAATGCCACCTCCCCTAACCCCGTGAAACAAATACACCTACGCTGGAAGCTTTGGGAAGAAGTGAAAAAATTACGTAGTGAATACGCTATTTTAAAGTAAGATAAAAAATTTTTTAAATACACGCTTTTAAAGATAATTTGACGCAAATCGAATTCTATTTTTAAAAAAATGTTAATTTATTTTGTTTCGTCATGGCTAATGATTTTTTAACAAAAGATTTTGATAAGTTGCGTTTTGACGTTTTTATACCTATAAATAATATCTTTGAGAAAGGTTTATTTATTTTTAATGAATCTGGCTCTCCATACTTTGACACGAAAACTTTTAAAGTTGAACAATATAGGCGAGTTTGCGGTAATAGACATAAACATCAGGAGCTTAAAAACAAATATCGATAAGTTAAAAATTTTCCTTATCGAATGCAAATATTCCTTTAGCATGAGAAACTTGTTTTGTGTTCTGACGAAAATTCTTATAAAAATTCAAACCTCCTAATCCCTAATTATAATCTTATTTCTTATGAAAGAAAAGCTAACAAAAGAGGAGGTAGAATAATAACCTACATTCATAATGACTTGAACACAAAAATTAGAAATGATCTTTCTATTTCTAATTCAAATAGTGAGGTCATTACAGTTGAAGTCATTAACGATACTACAAAAAATCTTTTAATATCCTCTTGTTATAGACCGCCCGAAGGAGATATTATAAAGTTTTCAAATTTAATGAAATATATATAAAAGCAATGTTGAACATAAAAAGCAATGTTGAACATAAAAAGCTATTCTGTATTGGTGACATGAACATAAATCACCTAAGCTATCATTAACACGCAAACACCAAAATTTTTTTCGATGATATGATACAACATTACATTTTCCCAATTATAAACAAACCCACCCGGGTAACTCCTACCTCAATTACAGCTATTGACAATATATTGACAAATTCAGTTTAAGATCCATCTTTAAAAGTAGGAATAATTAAAATGGATATATATCTGACCACTTCCCATTTTACTTTTCACTATCACCGCAAGCAAAACGTGTCAATAACCTGAAAATACAATCATCAAAAGAAGCATAAACAAATTTTCGATCCAAAAACTAAAAGGCTCACTAGCAGTAGTAAACTGGTCAAAAATGTAACCTCGGATGCACAAACTCCGCCTAAAATAAGTTTATAGACATTTTCCTAACTCTACAATAAACATTTTCCAAAGGTCGAAAAAGAAATTAAAGCAAAATACCTAACCACTCTATGGATTACCAAAAGAAAAAGAAAATCGTTAAAACAAAAACTCTACATAAAATATCAAAAAAAATAGAAGCGACATTAGTTTGTCTAAGTATAAACAATGTAAAAATCTATTTGAAAAAATAAAATTAAATTCCAAAAAACAAAGCAAATCCAAAAATTTAAAGGAGATAATAAAAAAATCTAGGATATTATGAAAGAAAAATATTCTCGAACCAACTACCTCCAAAGGTTCTCATAAGTGAAAAAGAGTTTTCCCAAGTTTTTAAAGAACTAGAATACGAAGAACCTAAGAACTTGAAAAATTGGACGATAAATCTCCAAGAACAATAATTGTTAAAATATTTGACTTTCAAAATAAAAATAGTTTTAACACTAGCGAAAAAACTCAAGGGTACATGGATATTCATCAACAAAGATTACGCAAATGAAACACTGGAAAAAAGGAAAAAGCAATGGGAAGATGTTAAAAGATTTTGCAAAGAAGGTAAATACGCTATTATTAAATGTGATAAAATATTCGTTAAAGAATTTCGTAAATAAGGAAATTAGCGATCTGTAAAGCCGCAATTTTTGTAATTAGCAAGTTAAACTGACATAATGGCTTTCGACTATGAAACCCATTACTCCGATAATTTTTAAACTAGAAATGATATAAACTTTTATCTTACGGATAAAAAAATATTTAGCAAAAAGTGTTGTAATACAGAATATTTTGATATTGATACTTTTAAAACCCAATTTAAATCGGTTCTATGAAAAAATTCCCCCGAAATAATCCCCCGAGAAAGAATCCCCCTAAGAAAAAATCCTCCCGGATAAAATCCCCCCGAGAAAAAATACCCCCGGAAAATATCCCCCCCAAAAAAAATATTTTTTTTTTACTTAAAAATTATCATTATATAGTTGTTTATTTCTTTATTTATTTTAAATATTTATAAAAAATACTTCATTTTTCATCAAAATGTCAAATTACGCACAATTCCTCGAAGGTAGCGAATGTGAAACCCTAACCCTAACCCAGACAAATTGCGAACTGGTAAAATGTAAACTTTTTTGCGAACCATCGTTCTATTGGTTGTT